ATATTAGAGATAATATGACTTAAGATTATATAATCATTAGGGTTTGGTCTAGTGACTAAATAAAAAGATAAAATCTAAAATCACATTTAATTAACATGATCTTCCTATTAAAAGTTATATCTTATTGTACAATCAAAATAATAATAATAAAAAAAAAGAAAAAAAAAAGAAAAAGAAAGAGATCTCCCCCTTCCTTTCACAGCTATATATCAAGCATTTCAATTTTGAGATGGGCAACAAAAAGATTTAGGAAAGGAGGATTATCTCAGTAGTTTTTTTTTTTTTTTTTTTAGCAATGTTTAATTCCCTCTTTAAATGTGCCAAAAAAAACCAAAAAAAAAAAATAGAAAAAAAGAAAAAAAGAGAAAAGGTAAAAAGAACGAGAGAGAGCGAGAGAGAGAAAACAAACCTGCAAAGAGGAGAGTAAATAGAAGCATTAGAATCAAACTCATGGCCATCTTCATCATTTCATACAAACGTAGACGTAGTATTGAAGAGAGAGAAAGAGTTAAAAAAAAAAAAAAAATCGAGGATAGATCCAAAACTAGCACCAAGGTATTACTAGAATGTAATGAAATGAAAAGTACCTCTTCATTTCACAATTTATATAGAAATTAAATTTTTTATTTTATGGTAAGAATATATATAAAAGGGGAAAAAATCTTTTACACTAAAGTTTTTCTAAAATTTAAACTTTTTATATATATTCTTCATTTTTTAAATATTTTCCATTTTTATATTTTTTTAAATTAAAGATTTTGAAATAATTTACTTATTTATCTATTTTACTCTAAAAAAATAAATGATAAAGATATATTTTTCGTGATAAAATAATTAATTAAAATAAATTGATAATAATAAGATTGAAATAGAAAAAAAATATTTATTTATCTTGATTAATTTTAATTTGTATTCCATTCCATCGAGTAATTTTTAATTTAAAGTGTTTAAAATCACTTTCTATGTTTTTTTTTTAAATACCATTTAATAGATTTATTTTAATTTTACTTTTATTTTAAGAAGATAATTACAACATCTTTTTTATCTTACTATACTATATTATAAAATTTGTTAAAATTTTCAATAAATTGCAAATAAATATACAATATGTTAGTTTTAAAAAGCATCATTAGACCTCCATAGGTAGCGACCCAACCCACTATTAATAGTATTTGCCTTAGCGCCTTAAATCTCATGATTTTAAAGTACGCCAATAATAATTAATAAGTGTTTATTTATATATATAATATCTCTCCTTTACTTTATCAAAATGAGATTTACTTAGAGATGTCACATAAATACTTTTGAAATCTCAAATAAATATACTCAATTGACCTCTCTTAATAGTTTAAAATCCACCTCAAATTTAGGAGTCTAATATTCTAATTCAAATAATGTATTACTTGATTTTAATTCAACTCTTAAACCTTAATTCAAATTCTAATTAAATTTAAACTAATATTTTATTAATTATATATTATATATGAGGATAATACATATCAGTTCTAACTCGGTGACTCACAAAAAAAAGTTAAGAGTCTCAATGTTAAATGATACCGTTTTATTTAATTAAAATTCAACTTAAAATTCAATAATTCACTATATTAAATATTGATTCTTATATTTGGAAACCAAAAATCCAATTCAATATCCAGAAATTCACTCACTAAATATTGATATATAGATTTGAAAATCAATTAGATTAGAATATATAATTAATTTTCATATCTAGATGTTAATATTATATGATACATTTCCAATTAAAGTAATATCCTTAATTAAAAAATTTTTAAAGATGATATTTTTGTAGGTGTGAAATCTCTCAAACTCGTAAATTCGTTCTTTTTGTTCCTTTTCAGAAATTGCATTTGGCATTCATGTTGTTTGAGCCGGGCCGGGTACTTGGCTTTTAAATCACAAAAATATGCACTTAATACTAAATGATTTTAAAGTTTGCCCTTAACTTTAACCTATAATAATTTTTGCTTAACTTTTATGCTTTAAAGTTTAAAGTATTTTAAGGGGAATACTAGTTGCACTTATTAATTTTTTTAAATAAAAAATTTAAATATCTAATAAAAGGAATGTTTGTGCATTCAAATCCACTTGATACTCTTATTTTAAACATTTGATTCTTACACAAATTTACAAATTTAATGTCTTGCGGTAGACAAATATTTTTTACATGAAAAAAATCCAAAAATAAAGACTAATTATATTAAATTTAACTGTTTTGTACAACTTGTATCTAATAATCAATATCTAAGCTGTTCGAATCAGCCATCTCCAACAAAGCCAAAATCAACTTTAAAAGTTTGACTCTTGATTTGCACAAGAGGAAGAGTTGGTACGAAACTGAAACATTCTGCAACAGTTAGGGACTGATAAATAATATTCATTTATTTCGTTTTTATGGTTTTGGTTGAATCCGTTCCACACGCAGTGCGGGGTTTGGCGCTCTCCTTCCTTCCTACGCTTTCCCTCCGTCGTCTTCATCCTCCAGCAACCAAGTTCCAGTTACAGAACAATGGAGAAAAGTGAAGGCACAAGTGATAGTCAACGGCCATGGCAATCTTATCACACTGTTTACACCAACGCGAAAGCAGGTAATGTCTTCTAGGTCTCTTCGCCCCCAATCTGATTTTCGCTGGAATCGCGATTTCATTTTCTTTACCTAGTTTCATCGATATCTAATTGAACTAGTGAATAATTTCGAAGAATGGAACTGATTCCTGTTTCTTCAAATGAAATATTCCAACGAAGTATTATGGATCGTTCGTAACTGGTTACCTTTTAGGAATGGATGGGGTGGATAAGGAGAAAGTGCAAAGAATAGTGTATGAAATGAGCAAGGGATCGAAATATTTTGAGAATGAAGAACGCAAAGAGGCCATTATGAAGCAGAAAGTTGAGCATATGCACTCTCGATGTGCAAAGTTAACTCCAGCTGATATATCCCATTATCAGAAGGTGCATTTAGGAAGTGTTTCTGGCTTTCTGCTGCTTTATTGTGGTGGAATTTCTAATATATTCTGAGGGCCTGTATTTTTGTAATTTTAAGCTTTTTTACTCTTTTGTAGGTTGCAGATAAAAGAATTGCAGAGCTTGAAGCTACAAGGGATCTGTCAAGGATTTGGTTACATGTAGATATGGATGCATTTTATGCGGCTGTGGAAACTCTGAGTGATCCTTCATTAAAGGGCAAACCAATGGCTGTTGGTAGCATGTCCATGATCTCTACGGCTAATTATGAGGTCTGAATTGCTTTCTGTATGATCTAAGGAGGATTATGTATGAATCTTTAGACTAGTTATAGTGTGTTAAAAACTCTGCTAGTCCATGACTTTGGTTTCTGAGAAAAATTGACTACTCTGTAGGCACGTAAATTTGGGGTTCGTGCTGCAATGCCGGGTTTCATTGCTCGCAAATTATGTCCAGATTTGCTTTTCGTTCCCCCTGATTTCAAGAAGTATACCTATTATTGTGATTTAACTAGAAAAGGTTAGATGGTTTGCTTCTGTAATGGAGTTATCAATACAACTCTGCTAATTTCTTACTTTGCAGATGTTCCTTTTTGTTAGTTTTCAGGAGCTATGACCCTAACTTCATGGCTGCTAGTTTGGATGAGGCCTACCTTGATATTACTGAGGTCTGCAGAGCAAGGGATGTAACTGGTGGAGATGTAAGATACACCTCCGATATTGTTAATTATTTTTTAGCGCATCAGGTTTTATGTTCTTTTTATTCTTTTAATACAAAAGTGCTGTCTTTTGTGATGGGATTTTAAACTGATATTGGTCTTTGGTTGGACTACATAAGATTGCTGAAGAACTCAGATCCAGAGTACATGAAGAGACTGGTCTGACATGTAGTGCTGGAGTGGGGCCAAACCGATTACTAGCAAAGGTTGTTATTATCCATTTTCTTGACATTATTTGAGTTTGTATGCTGCCTGGACACTTCATTTCATCTTTTCAACATGGTGAACTTTCTGATTAGGTGCTGCAACTAAATGACAGTTGCAATTTCTTCCATCTAAAGGGAAAGCCATGAAATTAATAATTAGACAATCAAGATTAGTGATTTTTGTTCAATGTTGAGAAACATAATACTCTTCTTCATGATTAATGATAGATATATTGGGTAGCAAGTTGATTTATCTGTTCTTCATGTGAACTTTAAGTCTGTTGACAAATTAATTGTTGCAGGTTGTTGGTTAGTCAAGAAACAGCTTAGATAAAGCACCATATATTACACTCTGACTTCTAATTTAGCTTGCAGTGAAAGATGCATTGCCACCTCCACATTTAAAGTTCGCAAGAGTCTTGTAAAAACTATCATTTGTCTAACTGTCTATAACATATATATTCTTGCTAGTTGCATCAAGTATGTAAACATAAGATTCATCTTAAGAACATGGCATTCCTTGTTTTAATATTCTAATGCTCAGAGTAGGTTTGGGCATTATTTAGTTATAATTGTCTGGCACTCATTACCCGAGAATATTTTTTACTTTATTAATGAGTCTAACAAGAGATATTCCTTCTGAATTTCTGTACATTTTTTCCTGTTCTCAGGTTTGCTCAGATATAAACAAGCCAAATGGACAGTTTGTTTTACCAAATGATCGCATGGCAGTAATGACATTTATATCCTCTCTTCCAATAAGGAAGGTATATTTGTTTTCTACTAGTTTGTTGCACAATTCTTGTTTCAGAGGTGTGACTTTTAATACTGATCAAGTCCTTGGCACAATTTCATTCTCCTTGCTGAAAAGAAGGGATTCATTCTCACTAAAATTTATATTGGCAATCTGCATTTTCTTGCAGATTGGAGGCATTGGTAAGGTCACTGAAAATGTTTTAAAGGGTGTTTTTGGAATCAGTACATGTGAAGAGCTGCTGCAGAAGAGTGGTTTCCTCAGTGCACTATTTTCTCATTCAACAACTGGTAAGCAATCAACTTTTCTCCATTTTATTTTCTATGTTTCAGCACCATTCACTATCACAAATTGACATGTATAAAAAAGTTAATATTCTCCCATTCTGTTGCATTCTTTAAATTCATTTCAGATCTCTCCCTTCCTTCAAATGGGTGTTTCTCCTTATTCTTTCATCCTTAAGGCTGCATGGTTACCTTTACATTAAAATCTCAGTTCACTCTCTTTTCAATTGAGTTTCTGATGCAAATAAGGAAGGAAATAATATATTTATTAGGATTTTATTATGATTATGAATATATAGGAATTAAATGGAAATATTACTAGTAGCTTATATTATTAGGATCTGTTATTATCTTTCAGTAAATATTCAATAGGGAGTCTAATTAGGAAGTAAGTCTAATTTGGGTTTGTAGCTTTTATATTTAAGTATAGGTTGTATTAGGTTATTTAGTTGAAGTGTTTATGAATTGAAATTATCTTATAGAAATCCCTAATTCTGCTATTCTCTCCCCAGCCTTGCCTCTGTTTCTAAGTTCTATCCTGACCTTTGCTTCCTGTTCTACATCAGTTTCACTTTTGAACTAACTCTCAGAATATTACATGGCAGTTTTTATCAGAGATGTTATCATGTTATGTTTTGCGTCCCCTTTCAACGTAGATATTACTGACTATGATTTTACTTGAGAGTTTCTGTGAAAAAAAGAAATCAAGATTGCAAGAAACAAATGCCTATCTAACAAAATTCATTTTTCTTTTTTAAATTGAGATAGCCAAAAGAAATGCTTATTAATAAAATTTCTGATATGTGCTTAAGGAATGAGCAATCAGCAAATCTTACTACCTTTTTCTTTTGTCTAGGGCTTACAAATTCAATTGCATAGTGGCAATAACAAAAATTTTTATTGACATGTGATCCTCTTTTCAATTTATGATAGATTTTTTCCTTTCTGTTGGTCTGGGGCTTGGAGGAACAGATACCCCTCAAGTCAGGTTTCGGAAAAGCATCAGCAATGAGAGAACATTTTCAGCCACAGATGACTTGAATTTGCTTTATCAGAAACTAGGTAAAAGGTCTCATCGTTTTTCATTTTCTTTTTTTATTCAGATGAGGTGTTATGTTTGGTTGTCATGGAGATGTACATACTCCAAGCTTATTTAATGGTTAGGTTCCTTGGGCTCAACTTATAAATGGATGCAGACTTAATCCTGACAATCGTAGTTGGGCTCATTACTTAACCTTATGCTCGTGAGGATATTGTTAGGTTGTATTCAGAATGAGTTATTAAACCTTGAATCAAGTTGATGCATGGTTCTGGAAAATATTGGGAATCAGATGAGATCTAGTTGTAGCCAGTGGATTATATTTGTGATAATTGAGCATTTAGTCAACAAATAAATGACCTAGTCTTTTTGTTCCTATGTTTGTAGATGAGATTGCGGAGAATCTATCAGCCGACATGCAGGAAGAAGGGCTTTCTGGAAGAACACTAACACTTAAACTGAAGACATCATCTTTTGAGGTACAGTAATGATGCTATCTTGCTTTTCTCTTTTCCTTCGTTTGATCTGTTTTAGACCAAGCTGCAAGTTCTAAATGGGTGATTAATAATTTGGTTGATTTTGGAAATGAAAAAAATCTGGTTAACAATTCTTTGATATGTAACTCCATTTTCTGTTATTGTTGATAAATAATAGTAATATATTTTCTTTTAAATGCATTTCTTCCTTGCTATATTGTTTTCTTTTCTTTCTTCTCCCAACTCTTTTATGCCTTCCTATAACCTACCTGCAATACAATTTTCAGGTTCGCACAAGAGCTTTGACTTTGCAGAAATATATTTGCTCAAAGGACGACATCTTAAAAAGTGCCTTGAAGCTGTTGAAGGCTGAGCTTCCTGTTTCTTTGAGACTGATAGGTTCGATTTCATTTATTGGCTTATGTTTTTTGTCTCCCTTATTGGTTGACATAGGGAGCATGGATAGACAAAGTCTTCCATGTGCTAGGCTTTCTTGACTGTGACAAAGTATTCATGTTGCCTGCTGGCAGGCCTGCGAATGTCTCATTTTAAGGAAGAAGAAAAGGTGGCTGTTCCTTTCGACCCCACACAGAAAACTCTGGCTGCCTTTGTAAGAGCTGGGGATGCTTCTAGAAACAATTTGGATGATGAAAGTTCCTTGGGGTCGGTTGATGAACTCCATTTGATGAATGAAATGGAAAATGACTTCCGTCTTGATCATCATAAAATATGTCATCATGAATCTGGAGATCCACTTGACAGCAACCATTTATCAGATTTAAATTGCGGCAGTTGCAATTCCCAAAAAAATGTTGTTGAGCAGGAAAAGATTCATGATCCTTCTAGTGATGAAATTGCAGGCGAGGTACCTGTAATTCAAATGTTTATCCAGAATCTTTTCTAGCATTTTCTTTCTTCCTAACTACGTGGTCCTGTAAATTCTATTTGCTTAGGAGAAGACAATAGATGCACAGCCAAAAGGTAAACAAATGTTGCAGTTGTTGGAAACAGATTCTTCTGTCCCATGGGAGCTCAAGAGCTGCAATCTTATTCGAGTGAATGGAAACACAGATATTCATGCTCAGACAAATGATGTGGCTTCATCTAGTCTAACAGAGGACTTAGTATGGGTGGATGACTATAAATGTTCATTATGTGGGATTGAATTACCATCAAATTTTATCGAGGAGAGACAGGAGCACTCTGATTTTCATCTTGCTGAGAGACTTCAGAAGAAGGAATCTGGAACTTGTCCCCCAGTTTCCACGCGGCAAAGGTGTGTTCTGTTATTAAGCTCTAGCTGTTTTTAGAGGCTCCAAGAAATAATACGCAAGAGACTAGATCTCTAACGGATCACACTGCAAAATTCATTATCATGACTTACCCATAAGGCCCATACAAATCTGCATTATATCTGACAAAATTTTGTGAAATGTTGTTAGGATTGTTCGGAAGGAGGAGAATACTGCAAACCAAAGCCGACAGAAGAAGCGTAAATCAGCATCAACGAAAGACAAATATCTGCCGATTGACACGTTCTTTGTGAAGAGCAACCAGAATTTCTAGTGCTGCGGTACGTATCTCTTTTAGTCCTCTATGTATATTAATTCTTCGTCCTACAGCAGTTGTATATATCATTGTTTATCGAGTAACACTTGTGTTATGGACATGTCTTCCGCTCATCAGTAAATTAGTTTACATGAGTGATATGATTTTGTTTGGTGAGAATCAAAATCAACATATTTAGAGTTTAAAATTATCCTAATGTGACGACCATCTCCAATTCTCCACCCAAATTTATTTTTACAAATGAAGTTTATTTTTTTATAAAAAGAAAGTTTAAAATTATCACCAATCATAAATAAATTATATGCCATGTGGCCAGTAACAAGGGTGTCCACAAGAAAATATCAAAGAGAATGTTGCAAGAGATAATGAAAAAAAGGTTTATCAACTGCATTTATAAAAAATTAAG